GGACACTCCATCTGGCCAGTGGTGACATGTAAGGGGTGCACATGCACCCCTTGACCAGCCGCACTTGCCACTTACACGCTGGGCAGGGGGAGCAGGCGGGAGGCACCGGTGCCCCCTCCACGAGCACCAGCCGATCGCTGCAGCTGCTCCCAGAAGTGGCTGCAGCGATCGGCCGTCATGGGATCGATCGGAGGGGGAACCCAGGCAGCGAGATCAGTGGGATCAGCTGCAGGGACATCCCCCACAGTCAGCAGGACTTGCACGGGGGGGCACATGCCCCCCCTGACTAAGGCAGCACCAATCACCCATGCATCTGCCCCACCATCTCAGTGTTCATGAGCCATTCCTGGTACCTCGAAGCATACAGAAAAAACATATAAAGCTATATCTATGGCCGAATTGCTGATTCTCTGATTCAGAATCGAATCTCCAGATTTGGCTGAATCAAATTGGGCCAGTGATTCGAATCAGCGAATTGAATCATTGTCCCCTGAATTGGGCTGAATCCAAATTGAATACGGCCTGCTTTGCCACCCTACTGGCTGGTATGCATGCCAGAGATATTCTGGGTGGTGGTAAGGAAGGCCTGACATGGATAATACTGTGCAGCAAGGAGTAAGCACGTTGCTTCAGGGATGCTTGGGGAGGGAAGGACCATCTGTATGAGCCACAATTTTGACAGCTTTTCAGTTGGCATAGCCCATGCTCTCTCTAGCAGTAGTGCAGGGGCCTGTGCATAGGAGGGATGGAGGAGTGGAACCAAACCCCCAGCCAAACTACATTTACACACTGAGATCTAATCTGAAGCCTGGAACACTGAAGTGGGCACTGACTGCTGCTAACCATCCAAAGACATCTGCCCTTTCTGGACAGCTAAATTGGGGAGGAGACCGGGTATACATAGCGGTTCTCTGTGACCTTGCCGCCATGTGAGTGCACCTACACAAAGCAGCCATAATTTAGTTCTTCATTTTTTAGGAGATGTAATTTTTTTTTTGGAAAAAAAGAAACAACTTGGGAGATCACAGAGTGAACGATCTATAACAAGATAAAAAGACATGGCTTTTCTGCAAAGGCTCTGTAATCAATTAACTGTTTTATGTCAAAAGTGTCAGCAGCTCCTCATAACCCTGGTACCAGGAAGGAACTTCCTTTTGAACATCCCACTTGGATAACTGACATCACATTGTTATTACAAATAGCAACAGATACATTATTAAGCTGCCAAAGGAATTTTTTTAATTAAATGTGAAAAGCATCTGTGAGCTGACAAGCAGCAGATGGGTCTAAAGTTTATAGATCTGTTTATCAGCACAAAGGAAGTTCTGAGGGTTTTTTGTTTCGTACACGTTTGCTTACCTCATGTTACATCATGTTTCAGCCTATTGTTTGCCTGCAGTTTTTCTGTTTCTACCGATCCCTGTAGTATGGTTCTTCCTTTGACTTTTAATGCTTTCCAGGCTCCATCACTCAGTGTTGCCAATCTTGATCTATATGGCAGATGGCTCTGATCTGAGTAAGTGGCATGTTCTAGTGATCTGAGCACAGGACAGTGAGCCAGGAATTCCAGCTTCACTGCTGATACTACCAACTCTCTCTGAGGCCTTCAGCATGTCTATTATCTTTTCCTAGTATCAGTTCTTCCTTCTGTCTTGTGGTACATGCCACATCTACCTGGTACAGATGTTAAATATTAATGTGCTGAGGCCTGATCTGGTGAGTTGTAAAAGGGCTTAAAGTCTCATGGAAGTCAATAAGCCTGACTGTCTTCTTATTTAACGGGATGTAAATGAAGAATAACTTGAGTGATGTCAGTCAAGTCACATTTTGCACACTGTAAGAGCTTGTCTACAGATGGGGTTGGTACTGAGTACTTATTCTTGATTAACACCTTAGTATGTATGCCCTATTTCTGCCTGGCTTGCCCAAGTTCAGCTGAACAGGAAAAGGGCATTCTAATAGGAGTGTCCACACATAGAGTTAATCTGAAATAGCGAGAGGTGTAGACTAGCCCATGAAATTAGAAGAGAGTGCTTACTAAAGAGGTAGGGTTTGTATCTTGTGGGATTAGTTATAGGTAGCTAGAAAAAACAACTGGCATTACATTCTACTGCAAAGTCAATCTGAACCCTTTTCAGTGGGTTCTCTTCTATTTATTTATTTTCATTTTCTTGAGCCTACTCCTTGTTCTAGCTGGGACATGTTAAATAGCCATGAAAAAGTCTGCTTTTGTAATCTTACCTCACCCAGAAGCAGGAAGCACTAGAAACTGCAAAAGAATTCCAGTTCTCATTCAATTCTCAGCCACATTTTACAGACTCATGGTGTTTGCACAGTTTGGACCTAAATTCTGAGTAACTTAGCTGAACTTCTCCTTTCAGCTGTACAAAGTTTACCGATCACTAGAAAGAGGTTACTAGAAGATGTGGGGAAAGCTATCAAGCTTGTCAATCAGCTATGAAACAATCCTGACCTTTTGCATTTCTGCTAGTTTCTAGGAAAGTCTAGTAAAGAGTCTGAAATTTGGAAGCAATTCTCACTGAAAGCCATTGTGCATTAGCCAACAAACTGAATAGAGAAAAGGCAGCAATTATGGGCCAAATCTTGAGATCCCCTTTCAGTGTTTTTTTCAGTCAAAATCCTATTGACAATGAGGTAGTAATAACTGCAGACTTCAAGATTTGGCCAAATACTAACAACGTTTAGCATATATACAATGCCCTTTGTCTATGCAGGAACAGGTACATACAAGTGATGGAGTATATTCCAGGACTAGCTCTTCAATTTCCAGAAGTTGTTTAGGGCTAGGCAAAGGTTAACTATATAGATGCCTCCAGTTAGGCGCTACAATGCCTAAAAAGTAAGCACTTTTCCCCAGGAAGGCAATCGTAATAGATGAGGTTAGATGTGCAAGCTCCCTATGTCATAATGAATGTAGTATTTTGAATTCTTGTAATAACTGCCCCTTAGCCAGTTTAGACAAAAGGCAAGGTTCATCTTCTTATCTAGGCCATTGCTTGCTTTGCCTGGCCCTGCAACAAGTTTGTTTAAAAGTCTTAGGTTCTCAATCTTATCTTTAGAGGCCTTTGACAAGTTAACCTAGGAACAAGAAAAACAACCCTTAGGCAAACATTCCAAGAGATCAAACCCTGGAAGCTTTTGAAAGGGAGTTGGGAAAGAAGGGCCAGAGTGGTGCCCAACTGGGAGTGGTGACTGTGTTGCCTACTTTTCTGTAATAATAGTTGGCTGGTTCCAGCTCTGGTTTAAGAAATGAGAAACCTGTTTTCAAGGGCTGAGGTCATTCAAACTCATACTTTCCATCTCCCAGAAGACTGCTGTAGCTACTAGGCATTGGGCTCTTTCCTTCTGAAGCTTGGCTGCAAAAGGCAGAAGTCACTGGGCCAGATGGAAGGCAAGCAAGAAGTCTGCGTATGCAGTCTTGTTCCAATCTCTGCTTCCAGGATTGTGTCCTTTTTGGCAATCCCTCGCAGTTGAGCATGGTTGTCTTCCATGATTGTCTTACCTGTGTGTGTGAAGATGGCTGATGAGAACTATCCAGGATCAACAGACTCTACTGCAGTTGGTCACCAAAGAGCTTGAGGAATGTGCTGGAAAAGCCATTTCCATGAAAGACACCTGTGCATGACTTCTTTTATCATGGAGAAACTGCTGTGCATCAGCTTCCACACAGCTCTTGACAGAACAGGACCTTGATCCAATAGCAAGGAGACCAAGACAACTGTGCATCTCATTCTGCTGCAGCCTTCATCCGTCTTTGTAGCTGTTGGGATTCTAACATCTTCTTCTACCTGCTCTGCCACTGAGGATTTGTAGACTATGGCTGGGGGCTGGGCAGGCTTATTATAGTGGTGAACTATACTCACCATGTCACAGCACCATCAAAGGATATATGTGGCTTTTCAGGAGGGAAACCATTGCCATCTGCTGTTCTCACCACATCCTGGTGGTGCTGCTGTTGCTTGGTCCACAACTGCTTACTCATCAGAGTTACCCTTGCTTATTCGCAGGTAACCTTCCCTGAAGGTCATATCACTATCTGCCACCTGTGGATGCACTGGGTAGCAGTACAGCTCTACCCCATTATGCTAGATTGCCACTGGTTAAAGACAGAAATAACCTTAGCTTCACCCAGATTTTTGCCTCCCAGAGACTGCCCTCATTACTAGGCCACAGTTAGGTACCCTCTTGCTGACTGGCCTTCTAGCAAAGGTGAAGGGTGCCCCTCCTCACCTTGAGATTAATGGCATTCTTCCGAGGAGTGGGATTGCTGGTTTTATCCACCTCCAGTTAGGGATGGCCTAGAATCCCAGAATCCAAAAATTTTACTCTAGAACTATTGCAATACCCTGACCTATGTATTATCTCTAAGTTTCACAGAAGGAAAACCTAAAATACACACTTGCCCAAAGCCACTGATTTAAGCTTGTAACAGAACATAAATTCAGTGCATAAACCCATTTCAACATGGCTGAAACTGGTTTAAGATAAACCTGGTTGAACATACTATCACACTTAACTGATTTGGGTCAAACTGGTTTATGAAACTTCTGTCCCAGACTCCTTTCCGGTTCAAGGTAAATAACAGTCCCCCAGCATCCCAGCATGCTTTCCAACCCTGGGCTGGGCTGTGCTGTCTGCTTCAGCAGAGAAGGATTGGGGGGAGGGCTTCTGGCCTGAGCCACTGCAGGCACGTGGCTGCATTTCCTGAATTAAAAGTAAATGTGTGTCCAGTTGTTTCTCAGTTTAATTTCTGGAATTTATTATAACCTGCAAAGACTGAATCGATTCAGCCTCGGCCTTTTTGACTGTCTGTACTTAGCCTTAGAGATTCATTTGTTAAAAATTATTGTTCTGCTTCACATATCTAAGTAATTGGGAGTCCTCAGATCAAACCAGGGCTCAGAATATGCATTGTTGGTATCAGTGTAGCTTGTTAACATTTTATTCCCTGGAAAACAAATTACGAAGGGTTGGTATACCTTTTTTATCCTCTTTTTTTCCTTCCAATGCTGGTATTTTTTCTGAGATAGAACCATTGTCTTCTGGGCTTTTTACTACATTTTCTTCCTGTACGATTTCTTCACCAATGGCTATAGTGTGTCCATTTGAGGTTTCAAAATTTACTGTTACATTGCCATCTAGATGGAAAATAAAAAGCTGTTATCCAAAAGCTGTTAAAGTCTGCTCAAGACCTAGTTCTCTATTTGTTGTCATTGTTCAATGTTTTTCAGGGTTTATATTTCCACAAAAGAAAGGCACTTTGTTATGTGAATATGTTTAGATATAAAACAAGCATGAAGTTTTACCCTGGAGAGTGATCAGTAAACAAAGCATTTTAGAGGTCCATATGTATTATTTTCAGTGATCTCCAGATCATATGTATACAAATAATAAGGACTTCTTACTGATCTATATTTAGCTGTTACTTCCTCTATCTGCAAAGGAACATTCCCTTGCTCACACCCTCCTCCTGTGTATCTTTCAGCCTTTCCTTCAGTCTTTTGGAAAATGTTATTTGCTTATGGTGACATGACTTCCTCCCCTCTCCATTTCTACCTTTTATTACCAGACCACCTGCTTCCCACTCCACTTCACTCTCTTTATTAAAAGCACAACTAGTTTTCTTCCCAGTCATTTCCAAGACTCCCTTCTCTGTTACTATCCTTCTCATGTGTCTGCTGCAATTGATACAGCTGACTGCTTCCCTCCTACTCATCTCTCTCCTTAAGATTCTGTGACTCTCCCTAGGTTGCTTCTCTTCCTGCTTTTGCACTGGCTGCTTCACTGCCTCTTCTGACAGCTCCATTCCCTCCTCAGTCTGTGCCCAGGCCTTGGCCTATATCATCATGCTATATACAGCTTCTCTTACCAACTTTATGAATACCACCCCCCACTCAAACTGCAACCTATCCCATTGTTCAGTCTCAAGCCTCTGGTTGTCCCAGTCTAGTTATCTTGACACGCAAACTCAGTGCGACAATAATTGAGCTCTACTTTTTTGAAGTCCTTGTTCATTCCTGCTGATCATTCACCTTGCTGTAATATTTGAGTCCTCCTTCTCACCTCTCATTCAGGCCACCAGAAATCCATTATTTCCTATGCAGCTCCATAGTGAAAAATCCTTGTCCACACCTTTTTCATCTCTGACCTTCATGACTTAAATGTCGCCTTTCCCACTTAAATTTCCTACCTCTTCCTTTTTCAACCCATACAAGATGCTGTCACCAAAATGATCTCCCCCACTCACTGCCCTCCATTTTCCCAAGCTGGCTCATCCTACCCCTCAAGGGGAATATCTTTGCCTGGACTAAATCTCTCTGCTCATCTCTTGTAACTGTCTGACCTTGGCTAACCACTGCTTTTTCATCCATCTCTTCAGTCTCCCATCTTTATTTGGCTTCTTCCCTGTTTTCTCAGACCTTGAAGCTTCTACCCCATCTTCTTTCAAAATACCCTTTAAATCATAAATGTCCACCAGGTGTACAGCAAAAAGCATTCTAGAAAACAGAGGAAGTGGGTGCCCTTTTTTAAAAGGGGGAGAAAAAATTATTTGACCTCCTTATCCATTTCTTTTACTGCACTGAGCCAGCATGAATAAAAACTAAGCAGATAATACAGTATTGTTTGACATAAGGGGGAGTTAAGGAAACTGTCAAAGAATGTCTGCTTTTAGCACATAAGGGGAGGACTTACCTTACATCTAGTTCTAACCAAGCAGGGATATTATTAATCTATTGCATTCACCAAGCCTCACAGCAGATATTTATATTGGCTCTGAAGCTCTGTTAAGGGTGCCACTGACCTGCTCCCACTCCACTAAGGGCAAAACCAGAAATGAGGCGGTTAAACTATTCTGACAGCATCCCCTGTTGCTGCTTTTGAGACTTTGTCTAGGGTATACCCAAAAGCAGCAATAGGGGGGTGACCCACGGAGTTGCTTCAGTGTCTCTTTCCTGAGCTTGATGCATGTGGAACAGGAACAGAAGCAGCTGGGTGAGGGGTATGTCATGGCAATGCTCTTGGGAATGCTGTAGAAGCAGTATAATTGTACCCAAATGCTGTTTACAAACATCAACCAACCAAGCTGTATAGCACCACCCAAAAGATGAGAAACCATTTAAAAAAAATCAGTTTTACTATTGGTAACACTGGGGTAATGAGATATTAAATGTCTTGCACAGCATGCCATGGCAAAGATCAACTTAGAACAGATCAGTCCTGAGCATCACACTGATAGTGATACAAACAATGTAAAGACTAATGTCATTTGGAGCTAAACTTCAGGATAAGCACTTGCAAATATAATCCAGTATTTCTAAAGATTCAAACTATGATGCTGTGGGGAGCGTAAATATTAAGCTATCTGTAGGATTAAGCCTACAGGCACTCTATTGATTCACCAGGCCAAACAATTATTTTTAGCAGAAATGTATTTTTAGGAAGCTTAACAAAAACCATCCTGTAAGATTTTTATATTGTGTTGGTTCTTAGTTCCATTTACTTTTGTCCTGACACAATCTTATTAATTTCCATGACAAACTGAATGACTAGTTTAATTTTAGGAAATGGAAAAATATTTTAGCCGCTACATTCTTATTAGATCTAGATTTGTAATTAAATCAACAATAGTACAAGCAGTATCATTGTGACTAGCAAAAACAGATTTTAAAAAACCTTAACCAAACCAAACAAATCAATAAAAAAATGCCCCACAAACCAGTATTTTAAAAATAATGTGCATACTGGAGAAAGCCTTCTGACAGGATCAGATTTAGCATGTAGGAGCTAAGCATGCTTTGCACATGCTTATTAAAGCACCTGGCTCTGTTTGCCAAGTACTGAACCTAATTGCCTTTTTCAACAAAGGGTGTTTCCTCTGAGCTCATTATGTCTTTCAAACTCTATCTGAGTGCAGCATGTGTGATGGTGGTGGTGTTTGGGTGATCTTACACCTGGTACCTTTCAGTATTTGAAACACAAGATGCTAGTTTGCTCTCTTTGGTTTACAACTGTGACCTTTAAATCATGAGTAGCAGGGCCCCAAACTCTTTAGCTTCTCATCTGTAAATGCTCATGTCGTCTTCCTGCAATGATAGACTCAAATCCCATGCAAGTCTCTGATACCAAAAAAAATAACAATCCTTAGCATTTTTCATCTGCAGATTTAAATCTGCTTTATTAAGATGGAAAAAACACTATTATCCCCATTTTACAGATGGCATGGAAAGATTTACTAGGTTGTCCCAAAATCATATAGCCAATCAACAGCAACACTGGGTGGGAACAGTGCAAGCTGACTGATTTCAGCTCTGGGACTGTGTCAACTGGCTCCAAGCGTCCCTCCAGCTTTGCCTCAAGTATTCCTCCCGATTGAACTCTTTGTCACTATTCATACAACGTGAAATCACACTATGAGTCCTTCTAATTATGTAAACATAGTTGTGCTTCTACTACTTGTCCCTAGGGAATGCCCCTGTAAGCACCTTGTACTCTGGCATGTAGCAAGTTGCCCCGGGTGGGGCAGGGGAGGCTGGGGCCAGCACTAGCACTGGCACCCTCACCCGCACCCGTACCAGTTGTTTTTTTTGACATCAGGATCTCTCCAGTGTCAAAGAAAGCCATGACACTGCGAATTAGTAGTTGGTGAACATGCACATGTGCAGCGCACATGGTTTGTGGTGGTGCAGGAAGGTCTATGGTGCTGCAAACTGCACAAGCATACTCATCTGAACGTGCCCTATGATGTTAGTAATATCCACGGTTAGGGCAAAAGAGCTAAATTCTAGGTTATTTGCAATCACCTGGCTCAGGCATTTCCTTCAGCACTCCTCTTCTTATCAGCTCTTCTCTGCTTTGTCTGGTTGAAATTTTCCTTTCCAATACTACCAGAAAAAGAGAAAAAAAAAGCAAATACACTTGAGAATCCATCTATTCTCTTCTGATAGTTCTTATAAATAATGCAGGAAAAGTTAAAAAAAGGATTAACTCCCTCACCCAAGAAACTGCATATTCCTTGATTTTGCTGGAAAAGATGGCTACATTTCACCTGACTCTTGGAAATTATTCTTTAGCATTCAAGACAGAGTGAACAATATCTTCACTGAGAACTGTTCAATGTAATCGTTATGGTACACATTAGGCTGTACTACAGCTTTATGCAAAAGCTTTATAATAAAGAGGAGAAACATCATCATTCAAATCAGCTGATTGTCAGAGCAAAAAAACCCCACTAAGTCATATTTATAGGTGTTAAAATAAGTCACAGCACTGAATAATTAAATGCATTTTCCATGGGGAAAAAACCATTAATTATCTTTGTAGTAGTTTAAGCATATAAAGTTAGCAAAATACATCCAACAAACAAGCAACACATACACCCAACAAAATAAAAAAAAACATCCAACCAATAAACAAGGAAATAAAAACTCAAATGGAGCTTAGGGTAAGATTGTAGGGTTTGCCTACGGTGTTTTGCTAGCTCGAAGTACAACTCAAGAACTGGCCCTAACCAGCTTTCCTTACATGTTTTATTAGCAGCAACTTAGATTTAAAAAGTAATTATTGCAATTCTAGGAATATAATCCTCTTCTCAGCTGTTATGCTCTTTGCTTCCCGTTTCCTTTTTGCTTTTCATGAGCAGTAAATCTAGACTGGCCAGTATTATTTTCTCCTTGCAAGACCTGATCATTGGCATTCTTTGCCTTGACTTCAGTAGGCACTAGATCATCCCATAATTAGTTTTGCTTTCCAATTTGCATAATGATGACAATATTTTCCCCAGTGCCACTGGGTAATGCTGTATTGCAACTTGTTTTGAATTTAAAAACAAACCATGATGAGAGGGGAGAGGAGAGGAGGGGAGGGGAGGAGCTGTTCCTTGCACACTGTGGACACACCAGGCAGGGAACTTGCAGTGCTGATCCCTCTACTCAGCTCCCAGGGTTTCTCATTCCAGTGTGAGAAGTTGGCCTGGGCTTTGCCACACTGCTCCATCCTCTTGGCTCCTAGGCACTGGACACAGAGAAGAGAGAGCAGTACCACAAGCCCTCTGACTACTCCTCACCCTGGGACTCCAGTGTGAAGAACAGGCAGAGGCTTTGCCCTGCTCCTTTAGTCCCTCTGGGAATGGGAGGGCTGGAGCACCTGTTGCTCCCCATTCTTTCCCCAGATTGGCATCATCCTGGTTTCAGGAAAGTGCAAGAAGCAGGGGAGAAGGGGCGATTGCATTTGTATTGCTCTCTCTTCTGGAATCAATTCTACTAGTGGAAATTTTCCACTGTTAGAAATGAATGCTTGTATGTGGTCAATGGCAACACATTCAAGCAACTTCAGTAAGGCCAGAGTTTCAACAGTGAGACAGGAAGCATTCATTTCGGGAGTGTCTGTGTGAATTCAGGATACCATGTGTTATTCTGACGCTGCAAACCATACTCACTTTAGTAAGCCTTGCTCAAGCAAGAGATCCCACAAGCTATCACATTTTTTTGGTCTAATGCAAAATAAGATTTTTAGTTCTCTACCTTTCCTTAGGAAGTAGTTTTTTTCTTGCGAAAGGAATACTTAGTGCCATTCAGTAGTTGTGACCTCAAGCAGTCTTAGAAACCCCATTCTGTCATTTAAAAGGTAATCTGAGATTCTGGATACCTTCCAATGCTGAGGTTTGATCTTTTCAAGAGGAATCTCAGAGGATACTGATTTAGTTTTGAGTTTTTATCTGACCTAATCAGAACTAAAAGTGGCTCCCAACTCCCCACTCTCACTCTGGAGCCTTGAAGTGCCATTTATTCCATGCCAAGATGTAAATCGATGCCTTCTTTTCCTTTACAGCAACAGGCATAAAAAGCTGGAGATGATGACTCTGAATATTTATTTTTATTTTATTTTGAAAACCCTTTATGCAGGAAGTACACAACTGGGCATGCATTTTATTAGATACAGCATGGAAAATACGTTGCTTAAGGGAAAAATTCCAGCCATCATTCCCACATCAGTACAAATATTTCCATATCTAGTCCTCCATCTTTTCAAGTTTTTGCATGATGTGATTTCTATGTAGGTCTATCAGTTCTTCCCCCATACAATCATGTGACAGTTTTGTAATAGAACTACACAGTACAGCCCTGCCAAGTTCTAACAAGGCTCTCTTTCAAAAGGTTTATCCAAAATCCAGCAAAATGAATTATAAGACTCTCTGACGTTCAACACTCTGTCTTGCTATTGACAGGAAAACTCTTCCCCCTGTAAACATTTTTATCAGGGTACTCTATTCATTATGTCCTCTGGAGACTAACCTATAAGATATGATGACAATTGTTTTGCAAGCAGTTTTAGGCTAGCAGCTAGTCTCCTCATACACGTGCACTTTAGTCTGAAATGCCGCTAAATCTCTGTTCCCAGATGCATGAAGAGGAGGATTCCCTCTAGGCTTTCAGGCTTATTTACAATCCCCACTTCCTTTTCCAAGTTGCTGGTTAACTGGAGAGGCAACAAAGGCTGCCACCAGAACACACCTGCTGGCCCTGGATCTATATCCTTGGTAGGTAAAAGGGATAAGGATTTCTTTCCAGAAACCAACCTGTGATAGTCCAAGTGGGTTTTCAGTTCAAACTCCACCCAGATGGAAAGACTCTACAGACTGCAGTCATTGTATAGTAATTACTCTACATATTTCGTGAGTTTAGGGAGCAAACCTATGCCAGTCTAGAAATCTTTCCTTTTTGTTTGTGTCTTGATAACAAAAGAGTTGCCAAACCATATAAGGCAGGGGCAGGCAATTATTTTGGGCAGAGGGCCGCTTACTGAGTTTTGGCAAGCCATCGAGGGCCGCATGACAGGCAGCCCAGGGCAGATTAATATTAATTTTCTAAATTTTTTAGGGGCCCTGCGGGCTGGGTAGAATGGCCTGGTGGGCTGCATCTGGCCCCTGGGCCGCATTTTGCCCAGCCCTGATATAAGGGTATACCCAGTGTGTTCACCCACACAGAAAGGCCGCTCCTGAGTTAATGTGTCCTTGTGGGCTCTTCATTTCTTCTGTGAGAGTCCCTATGACTACCTGGGATTAATGCTCGTACAGCAGAATGTTGATTATCCAAAAAATCATCACCATCATTCTAGATAATCAATTTTGCTAGATAATTAATTATTCTGGGAATCTGTGCCACTCCTTGTACAGCCACAGAGTGTCCTGGAGTTGCTCAAAGAGCCATGACAGCAGGGTCCCTGCAGTGTCTCTGGCAGCTCACCACTGAGCAGGCTCTCAGAGAGCCAGTCACTCACTGCACAAGTCTGGTTAGTTGATGTTCCAAATAATTCATTTTTGAATAATCAATATTCTACTGTACCTAGTGCTGAAATATGCTGAGCTGTTCTATGATTCTTTCCCAATAAATTGTGGGAAAACCTGTCTGTGCTTCTGGGGGCAGAAGGATGTTGGAGGGCACTGGAGGACTATCCGCATAGGAAAGTGGGTGGGTTATTAGCCTGATGAAAAGCTGCATTCAGGCTTTGGTCTCCAACTCAAGACAGGCTACCTGGTCTGGGGGTAAAACACAACCAAACTGGGAAGGGAGGGTATTATGGTATGTGTGAATGGGAAGAAGGATAGAGACATCTGTAAGAGCTTAAGCTAATTCTGAATTGAAGACATAACTTAAGATCCTGCACTCTAAAGATATGGAGCAGTATTTAGGTACAAATGGATAGCTCCATTAAGGCCCCTAGGTATTACAATGCCAAACTTTTCAGTGCCGAGCAGAATCCTGTCATGAGCTAGGCACCCAAGCTTTTTACAAAGTTGCATGGAGAGAGAGTTGAGGGAATGCTCCACAGAAACTAGGAAGCAGGATGTGGAGTCACATAAGCTAGCCAGGAGGAAATGACAGGGAGAGGGACAGGTCCTAAGCTCTTAAGCTGCCTATACATGTGCTTGGGGGTGAGCATTTTAATTGGACAGCCGCTCCAATTAAAACACCTCACTGTCATCTGTATTAAGCTCCCACACATTTAAAAATGGCCGTGGGATGCTTTATCTTAACTTCGATTGATGATGTTTAATGAAAGTGCCCCCACAACCATTTTAAAATGTGCGGGAGCTTGTACACATGACGATGAGGGCACGTTGGAGCATTCTAATTAAAATGTGGAGCGGACTCAATTAATCAAGTCTGTTCCGACGGGTTCTAATTCGAATACGAACCAGTACATGTATAGGCAGCCCTGGGTATCTAAAGGTAGATAAGTGCCTAATGATGGAGGGAGGTGTTTATCTCTGCTTGGGATTCACAGCTGTGTATCTTCTCCTCGAATTAAGCACCTATGGCAGGTTATGCCCTTTCTCATGAAAAATCCCATCCAGTTATAACAAACAGAGCTGTGCTTTGGCCACTGGGGACCTATTTTCAAAACCACATTCTCCATCCTTACAGCAAGGACCTCCCATGGGGGATTTCTGATAGAAGATACTTCAATTTCTCCTGTTACAGCTTTTCGACACTGCATAAGTAATTAACTATTCATTGAAGCAGGAGTCACTCCCATCACCCCTTACCCCTGCTAGGTGATAGAGTCATAGTCCTGCATCTTACTCCTCCCTTTTGTTCTTTACCACTAGGTGAACATCCAGGGGTTTTTTTCTTTATTTTCTTCCCTGATAGACATTTCTTAAATACTTATAGGCCCAAAGTTCAGAGCTTCCCCAAAATTCATGGACTTTATTTCCAGAATCTTCTCTGGGTTAATCTTTGTTAAGAACTTTAAAGCAAAAGGAGAAAATAAAACCATCTTTGAACAAATAATTCATTGGGTCGTGGGGACACTGATACACCTGACACTGAAGTCTGCTGGAACGCAGTAATTACCACGATCCAGCAGACTTGATTAATTA